CAAGGAGACTCTTCTGGCTCTAAGCATTAGAACAGCTGCGAACAGTGGAAGGAACTTTCGAAATCGGCCCTCTCTACTTTTAAGAAGGCTACTGAGACATGAACCGAAACATGGGTACTGATCACTCGTCCCGTTGGCCAGATTTTTGCGTTGTTTGTAAACAAACGACGAGTTTTATGCTTTTTTCAGTATGACCAATAAATTTTTATTGTACCCAGTTGTTGAGTTTAGAATCTATATTTGGAGGTTGAAGTTTTGCTTCCAACTGCCCCTCATCACAATCGTTTGATCCTTTTCTATGGTCATGCCATGAGAGTGAAGCACTTCAATCGGGTTTTATTTGTTCTTGCCAAATACTATATAGTCCCTCTGAATTAGTGATGCTCCTAACCGTGCGAAAGCGGTTATTAGGTGAACTGTCAGATTTGAGTCAAAAATTGCCAAGCGAATAATCATAAAGATCATTTAGCTTTTGGTCTGACGTTTATTTTCCACTTCCTCAACGGTGCGGACTCCTGTGGCGTTTTATGCTAAGTTGAGGTACATTTATAAGGATTAAGATTTATTTAAAATCTAGAAATTGTCATAACGTCAAAAACTCATAGTGGTTCCTCTGGTCACCTGTCTTAAAGATGGTTATATGTCAACCAGTAAGTCGATGTTTGGTTCTTAACTGATGAGCGATATTATTGACCGTTGAACCTCTGTGGGAAAATTGTCGATGTAGATCTTCGAATCATCATTTTCTTACGAATCTTAACTACCTGTACACTCTGACTGGGCTTCGGCCATTCCGTTGTACCGCGCTTCATCCGAAGATTGAAAGGCCCATACATTTGATGATTCTTTGCGGGTTGGCTTGGACACTGACATCCAACAAAAAGCTCAGTCGGTGTACACCAGTTTATTACATTCTTATTTTATATGTTATTGTCCAGAATGATAATGCGTGCATACAGTTGTTACTAATGAAACTGAATGTAATTCAGTTCAAGCCGGTGATACATCGGTTTTATCTGTTATGATTAACTGCCTCTTTTCCTAAGCCTTTGCACCATCTCCTGCAGGTATGAGTTCATGCCGTGGCTAAAGTTACGGCTAAGGCTTAGGCGGTAATGCTATAAAAGCAGCATATTGTCAGTCTGACCTAAATAAACGTTTATTTTTTTGTATACCGGCTTGGAATAGTCCACTATTGAGGAATTGCATATTTGGACGGAACATGCATCATTGCTTGACTTCCAGATTGCTTCCAGAAGTCTTCTGACAAGAAGGAGCTTCGGTCTGTCATGAATAATAGCCCCTTTAATAGCAGATCATCATTTGCTAAAATTTCTCTATGAGACTTCAGCGAGCACAGTTAAATTGTCAGGTATTCTCAGTAAATGGTTTAAAAACAATGGCTGAATTTTGATAGGGCAGCTCTCTGTTGACAACATTTTTCAATGTCTTCCTTGATGAAACTGTGGAGAGTGCTTTACATGGATTTATAAGATTGGTCTCAGTTTGAGGCTGAGGATCAGTAATCTCTTATTCGATGACGATATTAATCTGCTGTCACGGACCAGGGAGGAACGCTTAGACGTAGTCAGTAATATGAATATGAAAGCCGCCGGCATCTTTTGATATGCTGATTCCAGAAAAACCAAGATGAAGAGCGCAGACAAAGACAGAAATTGATTGCAAACACGGTTCAAATTGACAAGCATTTGGAATGTTTTCAGAGACTCAAATGCCTTAATGTGATGGTTAACACATTAAGTTTGAAACAGTGCTCTGCAGCCATGGCGCTACAAACGCTGGAACCTCATTGGTTGAAATATATATATATTTCCTTCACAGATCTCTTGCAAGACATTCCACATTATTGTGCTTTTGATGCTTTTCTGTAACTGTACCTTAGACAATTTGTTTAATTTTTCAGTAAAGGAAAATTTATTTTAGAATCATCTCCTCGGACGAGCGTACCTGTGTTTGCTGGAGGGGGACAAGATTGATCAGGCTGAAGCTCAGTTTAATTTTGTTTTGAACCAGGTATGTCTTCTACTGACTGATCCTGTGGCTCATGCAGTAGCTCTGATTTTTAGAGCCAGAACAACATACCCGCGTTACTGGGCAGGGCATGCATCGCGTATCATAAGAAAGAGTATAAAAACGCTTTGCATTATTACAAAAAGGCTCTTCGTTTCAATCCAAACTGCCCGGCTGACGTGCGCGTTGGAATGGGTCACTGTTTCGCAAAGCTGTCAAAAATGGACAAGGCGAAGATGGCGTTCGAGCGGGCGTTGCAGTTGAATCCCGGCTGTTGCGGTGCGTTGGTTGGACTTGCGATTCTTGAGCTGAACCAGAACACGCCTGAAAGCATCCGTTCTGGCGTTCAACGCCTAAGTAAGGCCTACTCGCTGGACCCAGAGAATCCTACCGTCTTGAATCACTTGGCGAATCACTTCTTCTTTAAAAGGGTAGACGTATTTCTTTCAAAGTTCTAGTCCGTTGATAACGCGTGACTTCAGGAACATGTGAAGGTGCAACACTTAGCCGTGCATGCGTTCCAGAACACAGAAAACGAATCAATGCGTGCCGAAAGCTGTTACTTGTTGGCAAGGACGTTGCATGCTACAGTAAGATATTGTATCTTTAAACCTTTTGATTTTGCAACCACTCACGCTGTTGCTGCTGTTGACATCAGTCTCGCTTAAATAACGCACAATACTAACGATTTCGTGCAAAAAGTCGAAGTGTCCATGACATAGGAAGGAGAGAAAAGCCGTCAGTTGTAGCCATGTTTACCTCGGGTAAGAGATTGGCATGCCATACGGGTTTCACATAATCAGTTTGAGGAACGTATTCAATTTAGTCAGCCTTCGGGAACGATTAAAGTAATATCAGTAACATATCAGCGTACTGTGATATCACTGAGTTACGTGATAGGTTGTCAAGGGCTACATGATTGACCATCTGACTTCGCCGTTCCGCGAAATCTGACCTTCGAAGCAGGCCCGACAGGTAGAGGGCTGAAGCCATTGAGTAAGTCTTCTTAGGCTGCTGCTTCTGAAAAGTAAATTGGCTGATGGACAGATAGTCTTATCGAAGCATTGCTAAATTTATAAATTTATATGGCGTTGAAGCTGGTTCTCCTAAGAGTTTGATTTGATTTTCGGTAAAACATATTCATTGTTTAAAACTTTCTTCGTCCGTTTTTCTTCGACATTTTTTGCATTCTAGACATGTGTTCTCTTCAGTTCTTCTGTTTTGTTTTCGCTTTCGATTCGTAACTATTCTGTAGAAGTACTGTTTTAGGAAGATTATGAGCAGGCGTTTCAGTACTATTACCAAGCGACGCAGTACTCAAGTCCTGGTTTTTTGCTACCTGTTTTTGGACTCGGCCAGATGTACATCAATCGAGGAGACAATGAAAGCGTAAGAAAAATTCGGTTTCACGATATTTGCATCGGTTAGATCGGTCAGCAGTGCGTTGTTAATTGTGACGTTTACAGGCTATGCAGTGTTTCGAAAAAGTTCTCAAGTACCAGCCGCAAAACTACGAGGCAACAAAGATTCTTGGATCTTTACTATCTAACTCTGACAAACCGGAAAGGAAAGAAAGGGCTCAGGTAAGAATAATAACAAGAACAAAATTAATTCCAGTTCAGCGATTGTCAGGAGCGAAGTGCCGCGAAGTTAAAGGTTTAATATTGCAGAACATATGAACCAAGCCTTGTGTTGTCATTCGTCAGGGTCCTTATTAATAGACTCAGCAAAGCAGTGTGAGACTTCACACTAATACTGGCTAGCAGTCTGAGCAAGTGATTTGTTTTGACAGCACGTTGTGGGCTGAAATGCCCTCTAGAAGTTCGTTCCTTACAAATGTTTGCCCTTAATCGAGGTCCCTGGCAATTGTGTTGACAACTACAGTAAACGCATCTACGGCAGGCGTCATCGCACGAAGCGAAATTGTCAGGGATCGTCATAATCCAACACCTTTAAAGAGAACGATGTCGAGACGATACTTTACAATAATTTAAACGCTATTAGCCCATTCCAGTAGATCTCTGGTCACTTGCGGTAGACGGCCTAAGAAATGTCAGGATAGCAGTTATTTGCAGTGCTTGCCAGGAATGCTCCTTCTGACAGGTAGCGGTTTTAAAGGCCAGAAACTTGAGAAAGTGAGTCGCTACCAAGCTTCAAGGCCATGAGATATAAACTGTCTGATTCCGCAGTCGTAGGATTATTTTTTTGAGCTACGTATGCTATCAGCCGAAATGGTATATGAAAACATGCTGATTTCGCGGTTCACAACGATTGTTTCCTACACGTTGTTGAACGGATTCGCGCGTACTTCCTCATTTTTGAACTATAGATAATTCAGAGTTTCATGATCGGCATTCTGAGCTCTGGTTAAATGGTTTCCGTAGGCAGATAGAAGCAAGGGAGGTACAGTATGACAAGAACTATGTTATTTGACTTGTAATGCATCGTTTAGTTCACCCCTTATGATTATATTTTGGATACCGGTTGACGCTACACGTCCATCGAACATTTCGCTATGGTCACATCAATAGTTACTACTGTTTTTGTACTTTTCCCTTCAGTTTCTGGCATCTTTATAGTAAGCAAAACGCTGCTCATTTTCCCGCTTTCTGCATGCATTTTTAGATAGATTTTTTTATCTCATTGCTTAGTTTTCCGTTGTATGCTTAATTCAAGATGCTTCAAACCAGGTTTTTAAGGCAGTACAAGGTTCACCAACATGGTAGCTGTAAAGCCGTCTCTACTCCGGTGATTCCTATGGACATTATAAGTGTCACAGGACGCGCTTAGTGTGTTGCCTACTTGTATCTTCTTTACGGCAGTTTTACGGACCTAGACATAATGTACAGCTTGTCTAGAAACCTGTCGTTTCCGTCATCCCATGAACCCAAAGATGATCGCTTCGGAGTTGGTTTATAACCGTACTGTTGGAGTACCTGCTGGAGATGTTTATAGTTTTTAATGCAGCGTGTATACAGCTTCTGATACCACCTTCCTGTCTCATTGCTTGACATGCTTCTAAGAGGTTTTCATTTGGACAGAGGCTTTTCATTTTTCATACGACCTAAGGCTTCCTCCTATCATTAGATCTAATTGTTTGAACTGATCCTGGTTTTGTTTCTAATTTCTTGAGACCTGTTTATGATGTTCATCGTTTAATAACCATCGGTTACCAATATTTTTATCCTCCATCAACTTCATGAAGCTTTTTGGTTCTATATATTTTTCTTTTATGTTCTGTTGTAATGATTATGCTGTTTCTTTAATTTAGTCTTCTTGTTCTATTTTAGTCCTGTTCTTCTTTCTTTAAATTTTGTTATGCGATTTTCTTTTTTCCTGAAACACTAAACTAGATGAAGACTAGTTGTATTAAAGGAAAGAAGTTTAGTTAGGAGACTAGCTCTATGCCCTGAATAGTACAGAGATTCTCAGATAAACTTTTAATGCTTATGCTTCGTCTAAAGTAAATTTAATGTCTTTCTAGTTTTGTTTACTTTACCGTAACGATGTATTACTGCGACCGTTTCCTAATCAGACTTTTGTCTGCAGGAGTTGATAAAGAAAATTGTCGACCAGTATCCGGATGATGTTGAAGCTTGGATAGAGTACGCGTTGTTGACGCAGCAAAATGATGCTCAGGTAAGTCAGTATTCTTGTTGAACTCAGGAAAGTGTTGAAATTATTGACTGTTCTAGGGGGCTCTGCAGGCTTACAAAAAGGCTATCCACATCTTGCGCGACGTCATCAATGTTGATGTCTCTCCGGAAATAATAAACAATGTTGGCGCGCTGTATTATCGCTTGGGAGACTACGATAGTGCTATGGTAATGTTTAATCTGCCTAACGACGAAGTTCACATGTCCGTTTTCGTTAGAATACCTTAGGGGGAATTTATTCAGGTACAAGCGTACTGTTTCTGCAGATCCTCGAGTGTGGGCAATTCTCTTAGTGGAACGTCAGATTTGCAATCAAGAGATCTGTTGTTCGAATCTCAGGTGCATCTTCGCTTGCCATCATTTTCAAGTAGAAAGATGAACATCGTTTTGTGTATGGAAAAGCAATAGAAGACTGCGCGCGTTGATTGCTACGTATAGGTAGAATGTAACCTTCCATAAGAAAGAAAGGATCGTAAGGACAGTTTATAAACATCGCAATGTTGGTCTACCTTACATTTTCTTGGATATGGAAATAGATCGGAGTTTTTTTCTGTCACGCCGGCGGCATGCAACTGTGTCTAAATATTAATGTAAAAATTCTTATGTATTTTCTGTCTTGCTTTTACGTCCGTACTGTCATTAGCTACTGTAATGGGAAAGTTGTTGTACATATACGATAGGAGCGTTCTTCTTTCATTTCCGTTCTTCGCAGCCTAAAAAGAAACGAGGGCCAAATTAGCGCAGAAAATCTGTCTGCGGATTCCATATCGGCAGAAAAAAGTTTTTCAAAAATTTCAAAATAAAAAAATCACGCTTAAGTTGCAAAGCTGGTTAACAAATATGTCCTAAACACGGAGACTCAGTTGGAGATTATATTAACCGCCGACTATCGATCAGTTCTCATAACAAAACGCCCAGTTTGCTGCTTAGGTTGCAAGAATCCCCATTTCGCAACGGGCTTATCACAGTGAATGTTTTGCGCTTTTTGTTTTTCGACTGGTTGCGGGCAGTACTGATGATTGATCAGCTAATCAGTTGATAACCACTTTAGCCTTTTGCAGCGCCGATATTTCTTAGGCCCGTGGTGCAGGAGCTAATTGATATGTCATGTTTTATTTGTTTTCGAAAGCAGTGCCTGGCACACGGTGGTGGCGAAATCATGTAGCCTCCGGCTTTATTCCCAGTTACTAATACCCCTTTATTTATTTTGGAAGGATGAATGACTGATGAATGGCGAATTACTCCGGCGAGAATTCAACCCGCGATCTTTGAACTATCATTCTAGTGATCGCCTGATTGGGATAATCTGGTCACAAGGAAGAGATTCTTGGTTAATAGAGCATCGAGAGAAGATCTGCTCCTCTCTCTGTGCTACATGGGAGGGAAAGGCTACAGGGAAGTAAGTTTGCCCTCTGGAGGACGTCGACTTCCCTAACACGTCCATAGTGGGTATTCGTTATAGCTTCTTTCCTGAGGCCTCTAGTGTAGCTCATCTCCATTTTGATGCCATCAGCGAGGAGTGCATTTTTTGGAAACAAGTGCTGGAGATTACACTTTTAGAGCTAACATAGAGCAACTATTGAATGCAGTTTCTTACTTCCTTCGTATGAGGTTATTAGCTCTAAGAGTGATGCTGTAATCTGGGGAAAAAAGGGCAGTGCGTTCAGTCAATTAATCTTTTAATGACCTCGCCAGTGGACGTCACTGCTTGCTCTGGCCATCGTTTGAGAGATGCTCTGTTCAGCAGTAGCTACCCTTTGCAAAATAACGCACTTTAAGCAAGAGTTGTTAAACCTACTGAGATGCAAGCCGCAGCCTTGGCTACATAACCGTTTTATCACTCAACAAATGTTCTGTTTTGTTGTATTTATGTATCTTCTACTTCTGTCGTTGTATATACAGTCGTTCTTTTCATTTATTCTCATATGAATAGAATTTTCCAAAAATACTGTCAAGTTTCTGTTATTGCAACTTTCTTTGTAATGTCAGTCTTTTTTCGTAGGTCGGAGTTAGTTGCTCTGGAAATATTTCTGAACTCGTATTATGCTTTTTTAGAATTATTTTTTAACTTTCATTTAAAGTATTTTAATATGCTCTCTCGTTCAGAAGTACTTCAACATGGCAATCGATGGAGCGAAGGCAGAACTGAAAAATGATGAAAAATTGTACAAGGCGCTGTTGGTAACATGTACTTACAATTTAGGCCTTGTACTGGAGGCGTATTATGAATACGAAAAGGCGGAGAAGGTGTACAAAGATATTTTACGAGAGCACCCTACTTACATAGACTGTAAGTCGGATACTGTAGAAATACACTGGGCATCGAATGTTCCAACAAATTCTTGATTGTTGCAGGCTATTTAAGGTTGGGTTGCATGGCAAGAGATCGTGGACAGATATATGACGCGTCCGTGTGGTTTAAAGAAGCCCTTCAGTTTAATCAGGTATGATATTGTCGAGAAGTCGGTAAACAAAATTGAAACGTTGTCGTGTGTCTGAAAGTTTAGTTATTTCAATTAATAAGTAGAAACTAATGTCTGCTCCAAAGCACCGTGTTGTCAGAAACCATGGCATCATTGACTTTGTTTAAAAACATGCAGGAGTTGCACAGTCGATCGAAATATGCTAGATTTACTTATTCTTGAAAATGTTTTATTGAATAAGTCAATATGATTCAAAGTCCGTAATATTCATATCATTTTTGCAAAATACGTGATTTCTTTAATGGAAATTTATGAAACTCATTTCGGTTATGTATACTGTTCCTGAATAAACTGTCACCTCAATGGTTCTAGACACAACACAACAGACATATGTATTATTTATTATAACTGATATTTCAGCCAAATTCGATTAGCCTTCGTCAGGACTGCTGAGGATAGCTGAGGTTGAAACGCAGAAACGTTCGCAGATATAAGACCATTATCTGTCGGTTTCCTTCATTCATAAGCACGCTTACAAAGTTTGAGTACTTTGTTCCGCGCTGGTCGTCATTTAAATAAAGTAGGTCGCGATTCTATTAATTTTAAAGCAGGTTTTTTGGCAAATGATGAACCAGTGCCAACGTTTCGATTTTTATTTCACGAACCATTTTCAGGAGGAGTTGGTTTGATTTGCCGTTTATCATTTGCGTTTCATTCGTTGGAGGTGTCAGAGGTCGATTCATAGACCAGCACAAGTCAAAGAACCCCGCCATTTCTCCTTGATGCCTGAGTGCCGAAACGGCACAATGATCGGGATTTATGATCTGATGGACGAATAATTTACCTTCTTTATAAAGAAACGGAGTTAGATGCTGCTATTTTTCGAGTAACGGGTGCTTAAGTCCGCAGTCACTTCGCTAATAGAAGTTTCGCATTGCGTTTGAATAGGCACGCAGTTAGGGAACTGCTGATGACACCCGTTATTAGTGAGATTATGGTAGCAACTATCCCAGTGGTATTGAAGTTTATAACGGTAACGATGGTGGTCATCATCATCGTAGTGAACTTGATGACGAATAAGTTCATGTCATAAATATGATTATGATATGACATCAAGGAATGATAAGAGCTGCTTTTTTGTTCTTGCATT